GGTTAGGACACTCAACCATGAGTGAGGCGTAGGTCTGTGTCTCAGTCCCTGTTCTGAGGGTTCAATGCAGGGGCTCCTAAAGTGTAGCCCACAGGCCACACACAATCTAAGAAGTGTTTGTATGCAGTCCATAAAGGGACTTTTTAGTGGTGGCCATCTTCAACAGAACCAGCTGATCAGCAAGGCTGGAGCTATTGACTCTATTCAGTAGTAATTAATTGGCAAACCTGAGCAGCAGCTCTGTGATCCACTGTTAAGGATGTGCTGAATGGCTTGGGAGATACTCAGTTACATCTACCCTGATGCCTTTTATTGGCAAGGTAAGTTGATTGTGTAAAATTAAGTGCCTGCTGATATTAAGCTCTTGCTGATATTGGATTCTCCTTATTGTAACTTTGTATATATAAAACATGTGACATTATATCTGTTGTACAAAAATACTGCATTGGAATTTCACTTTGTGGCCCCTAGCGTGATGTCCCACCTTTAAGCAGTCCTGCATGAACACAAGTTGGTGAATCCCTGGTTTGATGTAAAATGTATTGGTGTATCTGGAGTGCCTTACCCAAACTTTAAGGGCACCTAATTAGCACATGTTGGAGCAGACTGGAGCATGCTAATTAGCACAATCCAGCAGCCTCAGCATCTTGCGTATTCAGTGTCCCTGCGATTCAAAATGACAGCAAGGTGCTTTAACTAAAGCTTGTCAAACGAGCCTTAGTTAAAGCTCACCCACCACTATTTTGAAGCACAGGATGCTGAATACATGAGAGTACGGGCACTTTAAGTAGCTTCTGAGAGCCACTCTGATTAAAGGGCCCCCACCCCAGAGCATGTCTAAAGATGCCCTGAGAGCCCAGGTGGGCAGAGGATGTCTTGACTGGAATGATAAATAAATTAGAAACAGTTGTCCTGCCACAGATCCCAGTCGATAAATGAGTAGCTAACCTGAGTCAGAAGACTCTTCAGATAGAGGTGAAGTGACTTGACCAAGGCAGTGTCATTTGGGATTTGACTGGAGAGCTTATTATCTCTGACTTGTAGTGTTTTATCTGCTGTAGTTATTGGGATTCATTCTGATAATATATTTTCCCCCAGGCATCTTTTGGCAGCAGTAGATTTTACATTGCAACTGGGGATGGAAGTTGAGAACTTAACACCTAGGCTGTATAGTGCATATTTCCTTTTTAGCTTAGATTGTTTTATATATCTTAGTGGCCAAAAGTCTTGTCTTGTTAACCGTTCCAGGACTTTCATTCAGTGCAAAGGAACTTTTTAAAGTTTGGATATAATGTTTTTATTTATATAAAAATAATTAAAATCTATGAATATAGATAAAATATCATTCTTGAAACCTCCTTGCTTGAAAGTAATTGGGAAACTCCTGCCTAGCTGAGTGCATTGTACTTGTTCTTGTGATAGAGGACACTTTTTAACCTTATGCTGTTACATGTTGCCTTTTTGCTCCCTTTTACAAAAACCTCAGGTACTGACTGCATTGCAGAAAGACAGCCGGGAAATGGAGAAAGGAAGCCCTTCACTCAAGCACTGAAAACTATGGCTGCTTCAAATTGATGCCCAGGGGAAAATAATTTAAATGGCAAATGGACTGAGTACAGCTTGACATACATGGAGCTGCATCAAAGTGTTTCAGAGTTTTGCTTAGCATTGGAGATGATGGCCTTAACAGAAAACGAAATAAGGGGAAGGGACCTATTTTAAATAACAAAACCAAGGCCTAGCCTAAAGCAGCTCAGTAGAATGTCTGAGGACAGCATTGCACATTCTACACTTTTAATGAAGGCAGTGAACCTAAACCATTTTAAGTTTTCCTTTTTTATTTCAATGATTATTTTAAAATACTGGTCATTGATCATGCTTTGAAATCTATTCCCCTAGTTTGATCCTTAGCCAGAATATACATCCCATATCCAAGAGTGTAACTAGATCTGGATCTTCAATACCTGGTGCTGGTATTTATAGTTAAGTGGGGTGAGGACCACTTCTTGAGAAATGATTCCTGTTTTTAAAGGCTTTAGGCCCCATTTACCAAAGATATCATTAGATTAAAAATAGAACTGCATTCCATTCACTAACAAAAATTTTAAGTAGAAAATACACTTGACTAAGAAGGATGAAGTCAGACTTTTAGTACAGCAGCAGAGACCATTTTTAAGATGACTTTCAATAGTGTTTTCCAATTTGGATGCACTGGGGAAGAGCTAAATTTAATCCCACTGAATTACTTGTGTTCATCAAGGTGTAATCCTTGGCATTACACTAACATTGCTCTGTATGGGTTCAATTCCATTTCCCTTTTAATAGCAGGTAAAGTGCTCCTAAATAGCAACAAGCAAATGAGGTTTACTGAGGAATGTCAAATGTAAATGCTAACAGGACAAATAAAATGAATCAATCAATCCATCTAGCTGTTTTAAGACCAGCCTGGAACACACTGTAATACACTTAAGTTTGGAGACAGCAAACTTCAATTATGTTTTTTTGTTACACAGTTAAACTTTTCTGCCTTCAACTTAATGTTTGATTGTAAATCATAAGTGCCCATGCTGTATGTTTTCCACTTTACAAGAAAGTGTATCGCATTATGTGCTTTATAAATAGTATGAATTGCAGCTCTGAAAAGGGAAACTAACTGAAGCAATATATGTTTGATAGAGTAAATGGGAATCCTGAACTCTCCAGGCTTGTATCTTCTGTTTAACATCATCCTTCAGTCTGTCCTCTAGGCTGATTTTGTTTTAGTGTTGTCTGGAACAAATATGAATTAGGGGAAACTAAAATTAACATTGGCTTAAAATGGAAGTGTATTTGCACACTCTTGCATTCCAAGTACATATAGCATCTAATGTCAAATGACCACATTATACATGCAAATTATTATTAATCTCCTTATGTGGTATTTTGACTATAATATTTAAGAAGGCTCACCATGACTTTTCTGTGTTAAGTGTTTGAGAACTCCTGATCACAGAGAATATGAAATCTTTCCCTTCCTTTCCTGTGCACCCAGTGTAATTAGTTAGTTAGTTTGTTTTTGATACTGACCTTTAATTTCTTCAGTAAGGGGTGAATTGGTAATTTTTTTTGTGAAGATAAGCAATCAGGCATAGATGTGGTAATGTTTCCATTCCCTCATCTGAAATTGCTTAGCTTTGGTCCTCCTGTGATTGGTATTCATGTTACGTGCTTTTAAGTGCAATAGAAAGCTGGAAGGTCAGTAGCTATTGATTGACATTAATACCTTTTAAATACCACAAATATGCCTTTACATGAAGGTGTAGAGAGGCCTAACATTCAAAACATTTGCACTATACTTTTACATGACTTACTAAACTTACTCAGACCAACTTTTTCCTTGGTATACATTCAATTAGATGGTACTGTAGCTAGCTTTGAGACTGTAACTTGGTTTTCATCACAATTTAGTGCCCATTTCCTTTTAAACCAAGTCTTCTGCGATATGGCTCAGTCATCTTGCAAGAATGCATTCTTTAGCCGTGGTATTTTTGCAGCAATCCTTGATCTGTTCTTCTTTTCCTCCCTTCCCAATATTGTTGAATGTAACTCTGAAAATGGGCGTGGTTGTCAGAAAAAGGCCTGCTGCAGCACTCGTGCACTGTTTGTAACTGGCAGATGTAATTATTTTTGTTCTGTTGGGTTTTTTCCTGTTCTTTGAGGATGTATATATTTTCTAATTGTTTTCTTTGTGTACATATGGTCTGTTCTTTATGTAATGAAGAAAAGCAATGCAATAAGGAGCTTTGCAGAGTTTGTTTAAAAACTGCATTTGGAAAACCTTTTTCACCTGCCTAAAGATGCAATTGTTTAAACTTTTCAGTAGACTTGATTTGAAAATATGCTTGAATTTTGATAAAAAAAACCCCCCAATATATTAAGATGTGTAGTAATAGCATAGGATTGCTTACCACTACAGCTTTTTTTAAGTTTCTGACAGTATACCAAATCTTGTTAATTAGCGAGTAAGGAAGAATTCCATAATAAATTCAGGGATTACATAACCCATTTTGCTAATTTGCTTTTGTTTGAGCATTCAAGGGTACATGTGAGACAATGCATGAGACTTCTTCCCCTCATTTGGCACATGTCTGCATCACACCAGAGCTGTTCTCCCCCTTCTCCCTCCATGGGTTTAAAGTAGACTTAAAATGCTGCAATATTTCAGAAGCCTGCAATTTTCACTTTACATGCAGCAAATTAGAGAAACTAGACTTCAACCAGGTTTGAGATTTTTGTGCAACCTGCACTTTATAATAAAAACAATTTTGCATCTTCAATCAGTAGTAGTTAAAAGTATCATTTAGAAAAGAATTTCATTTTAAAGGGTACTTTATAACGGCTTATATTTTTGGATGTTTTAAATACTAGAACGTATAGAAACCCATTGATACACCCTCTGTATATCATGTTCAGATTGTTTTTATGTAGTTATCAGTTTGTTTTGTTTAGGTAAGTGTATCAAACTGGAACTTTTTTGAACTGTAAATATATGATTTTATTAAATAAAGTCACGTAAAGTTACCTTAATCACGTGGTGCCGGTGTCATCCAAAACTAAGTTCCTGAATTTCTGTAGAAGTCTTCTGTTTTGGGTTTGTCAGTTTTATTTTTAATGTGGCATTTTAGAAGCTTTTAGTTCCAAAAAGATACCCCAAATGGTTTAGTTAATGGCTTTCACATTTCTACCTAGAATTAGGGGTCTGCCTAACTGGAGGAGGTGGCTGGCCAATTTCATGGGCAGATTCTGGGGCTGACTGCCATTTTTGTGGGCCCTGCATGGCCAAAGGGCCCTTGTGGCCCTGCCCCTCGCTGCAAGGGCTGTCCATAATGCAGCCCCACCCCTTGTTACCAATTGGTATAGGGGGCAGGGCTGCACAACAGGCAGCCCTCTCAGCCAATCAATAGCGAGGGGTGGAGGCGGCAGCCTGTCATGCTGGCAGCCTGCGTGCAAGGGCTGTCCATAATGCAGCCCCACCCCTTGTTACCAATTGGTATAGGGGGCAGGGCTGCACAACAGGCAGCCCTCTCAGCCAATCAATAGCGAGGGGTGGAGGCGGCAGCCTGTCATGCTGGCAGCCTGCGTGAAAATTATTTTCAGTATTTTTTTTTTTTTGCAGTGACCCCGCCAAAATTGCAAGGCCCACCAGTTTTCACAGAGCCCACCCAATTTCATATGTTCTGCAAAAATTGTGCAATCGTGAATTCAGAAGCCCTACCCATAATTCTTGCCTAAATAGGACCCATTTCAGAGGGTAGGAGGGGGGAGTGTTTATAAAATGACTTGGCATGTTAATGCTTTACATCCCCTTTTGAAGCTCTGATTTAAGTGCATTTCATATAAACTTTGCTGACCATTTTTTATGGTCCTACAACAGAAAGCAGGTAAGATCTAATATGTGTCCTGCTGTATTTATCATGACTCTAGGACTTGCACCTCCCATCTTCTTTCCTTTGTTCTCTTCCATAATAGAATTCTGATGGTCCCAGGTATTCGTTGTGGCTGCTCTGTGGAGGGTTTTTTGTTTCAATAATTTGTATTATCGGATGGTTATTTATAGCATATGTGTACAATTGTCCCCATCTTTGTCTTCAGTAGACATGTAAGAATTTGCTGCCACACAGTAGTTGAGGTGGGTTTTATATAACCAGCATGAATTGATGATCTGGGGAGCACAGACGTTACCTAAAGAAAGGAGTGAAAGTTAGCATGAATCAAATATCCATTTATAGTGGTCTTTCTGTTTTCAGTGTTTTGGATGAACAATTTCACTTTTTATTGGGGTCTTTTATGAGTTAAAACCTAAAATCAGAAGCCCTTTCTATTAGGAGAAGTCTTCCAAATATGTTGACAAGGAATGCTGTCTGCATCCACTGAATCAAATAGGAACTCTACATTTGCAAACACTACAAAGGGTTTTTTTTCCTTTTTTTTTTAACTGGCTTTTCTTCCTTACCTCTGGTTGATATAATCTCAGTTTGCTGGAAAGTACTGGTGGAGGAAGGGAAGCTTTCCTTTTTCTCAGCTACCACATGTTAACACAGAGCTTGTGAAAAAAGAGGATTTTTATCTCTTTTGACTTGTGCCATGTTATATTTTTCCTCACAGAAGAGGGATAAGGGTTTTATATTTATAGATCCCCTGGCATCACCTCATAATTTACAATTAATCTCTTAGGAGGGTTTTAGAAGGCCACAAAGTTGCAATGGTTTTGTCACTGTATTGACAAAGAGGAAATACCTAGAAAGGTACATGAGGCTGTAGTGTAAATATTTCTCATTTTGGGGGAGTTTTTTGGGTGTGTACATGTGCACGCACGCATGCCCAAATTATCTACAAACTCAAGAGCAAAGAGCAAATGCCAGCACAGAGGAGTTTTCCAGGGAAGCTCTTTCCTGCTGTCCCCATCACTTGTCATTTCCCATGGTTGTGAAAACAACAGGAATGTTAGCCCTTGATCTTTAGTCTATTAAAGTAAACAGCTTATGGGAAACTTTATCTTTTTAAAATTTCTTTTTAGTCTCAAAGAAAAATGCAGCTTGATTATTGAAGAGAAAATCCAGCCATCCTGGCAAGGCTTTGGGACCAAAGTTAAACTGGTTCAGTGAATAGGAGTAACTTTGCTACTCTGTTTGGAATTGGGAGAGTCGCACAAAATGTGGTTTCTCTTCACAAGTGGTATGGAAGAGGGCATAGGGATAAAACTACAAGTTGATCTACAAGTTACATGAGACAAAGTAGATGGGGCAATTCTGGTTCAAGGAATCTTTTACTTGTATTGTTACACCTTTTACCAAAATGGAAAAATAAACAAGTGCTTCACTTGCACAAGACTACTCCTTTTTTTTTTTTAAGCCAGGGTTGTCAAACAGAGTACTTGGGCCACATCTGGCTTGCAGAGCCAGATCATATGGCTCACAGCCTTGATGGGGGTGAGGGAGGACCTTCTCATGGCTGCAGCCAAGTACCTGGGTGTGAGCTGCTATGCTGCTGAGGCTCCAGCACTGAGAGAGGAAGTCTGGCACTGTGGCTTGTTCCCATGGCAGCCGAGCACCCATGACACCAGGCTTCTTTCCATGCTGATGCTGGGGCTCTGGTGCCATGGCTCTTGCCCAGGCATTTGGCTGCAGCTGCAGGGCTCCAGCAGCACAGCTGTCATTGGCTTGGCTGCCAGGAACCCAGGAGAGAGAAACAGTGCTAGAGCCCCAGCAGTGCCGCAGAAACAAGACCAGGACTGCAGCTTGTTCCTGCAGCAGCAAAGTGCCTAGGCAAGAGTTGCGATCCTGGAGCCAAGCCCTAGCAGCATGGCAGTAAGAAGTCTGATACTGTGGCTTGTTCCCATGGTAGCAGCCAAGTACCCAGCCTCTTCACACCAGGTCCTGAACTAGCATGGTGAGGGAGAGGTCCTGTGGGCCTGATCCAGTCTGCAGGGGTAGCCCTGCACCCCTGATCCAGCCTGCAGGGCTAGATGCTTTTGACACTTCTGATTTAAGATAATTTTCTTCTTATACTGACTAGTGATGGGTACAAAGTTATTAACTCTGCAGTAAAATGTATTTTAAGTAACACCCTACTTTTCAAACTGCCTCCATACTACTACAGGTTTAGCAGTTAGTCAAGTTTCAGTACATACAAATAAGTGTGACTTGTAGTGTGTTTTACTGCATCTTTTAACTGTTCTTTAAAAGACAGATCTTTTAACTGCTCTTCCGGGGCATCCGGTCAAATTAAATTCTAAGAGGAGGCAAGGCAAGACTTACTGGACCATATTGTCAGTGCTAACCCTGTGTGGGATGGCTTAACAATAATAAGGCTCAAGTTCTCAGTACTGAACTGACCTGCTTCTTTGCTACAGACTGAATTGTGCCCTCTTGCATCCATTTTTAGTTGTGATACCAATATTTGAAGTGAAGTGGTTCAAAAAAATAAACCCCATAAAAGATCTACCATGGAGATCATTTGGAGAAACAAGCAAGTGTAAGCCCCTGTTCCAAGCTTCTTAGCGCCATGTACTAGTCTCATTGCCGCTGTTTGGCCAATGCATTTCAAGACAAGTTTGTGTGCACATTTTTAGAACAGGGGACAGTAATGATGGTATTTTTTTTTTTTATTTTGTAATTGGAATGTTACAACCTCCGGTCTATCATTTCTCAGAAGACTTTCAGGTATGTTGAATATGTAGTTGAAATTATCTAATGATTAATGAATCAGAGCTTGTGGAATTAAATTCTCCACTGATTTAACTTCCTAGCTGAGTCACCATGACTACTGGGTTTGAAATTTTAAGATCAACTATGAAATATTGTATTTTTAGTGTTGTGTTTTGTAGGGACCTTAAGCGTCAAATCATTCTTTACCTTTAATTTCTTAATCAGAACACCAAAGAAAAACAGTGTGTGTAATGCACATTTATAGCTTTAGAAATAGCTTTAAAAATTCAGTATTTTTTAAAAATGTACTTAACGACCAGGTGAGTATGCTTGAGTTTCCAAAAACGAAACTGAAACTGCAGAGGCCACAAGATGTGTTAATAGCAGAACCAGAAGACCTTTAGGTTGATTCGGTCTTTGCCAGGAGTTACAATGTCAGATGTGTTGTTAAGTGTGAAATACTTCAATTAAAAAATGGCTAAATGTGCTTGGTTTCTTCAAGGGCCATTTGACAGGCACAACTGCATGGCAGTCTCCTGCACAATAAATAGTAGTAAACATGCTTTAGAAAGGAGATTATTTTCCAGTAAAATATTTAGCTTATTCTCTTGCCTGTACAAAAAAAAATATATATTTGGTATTTCCCAGTACTTTTATTTCTAATCCCCCCCACCCCTGGTTTTGATGTCTCTAAAGATCTTGCCTCCCTCCGGTACCTTCACGGCAATAGAAAGGATTTGGCTTCCTTAATTTTTTTCTTGAATCCCTTGCAGGCAATGGTGAGACCAGCATGGTGCCGTTTCAGGTTCTCCAGCTGCTGATTCAGCACCTGAGCAGCATCCACCTTGTTCTCAAAGTCCTGCAGCAGCACCTCATTCCCCAGCAGGCCGCACTTCTGCTGCAGCCTCTGATTGTCTGCCCGTAAACGATCCCTGGCCTGCTTGGTTTTGGTCAGCACATCTCTCTTCTGTGCCAGCACTGCCTCGATCTCCAGCAGCTCGACCTTCTTCTCCTGGTTCTCGGCTTCCACGAACTGCAGTTTCTCTTTGAGCTGTGTCAAGACCTGCACTGTAGTGGTGACTTTCTTCCTGAGCTTCAGCAGCTCCTCGTTGCGCTCATCCACCTTCTCATTGTAGGTCTGGTTCTCAATCTTCAACTGCTCAAAGTCAATGAGGTGCAGCCCTTCAGCTAGCTCCTCCTGGGCCTTCAGTCTTGCTTCCAGCTGCTCAATCTTGTGCTTTAGCTTGATGTTCTCCAGGCGTACCTGAAAGGGTGGGAGCGGGTAGAAAGGTGTGAGGATTTTCTGGCATCCTCATGCACCCCAACTCTGACAGAAAAGTACCTCACGCACCCCAACTACTGACAGAAAACTACGGTAATGCGACCTTCCTTCCTTTCTAGAAGCTGCTGGAGCACTGGCTACGGTATTTCCTGGCATCCTCACGCACCCCAACTACCGACAGGACAATATGGTAATGCGACCTTTCCTCCTTCCTGCGCAGGAGCTGGTGGGGCGCTCGCTGCCGTATTTCTTTGCATACTCACGCATCCCAATTACTGACAGGAAGATACAGCAACGTGACCTTCCTTCCTGGCCAGGAGCGCTCGCTGCCGTATTTCCTGGTGTACTCCCGCACTTTAGTGACAGAACAATACTGTAACGTGAAGCCCCGCGCCGCCTCACCTGGCTGATCTCCTCGTCCTTGCGCTGCTCGGCGGCCTGCAGGCGCTCCAGCTCGGCCCGCTCCCCGCCCGGCCGGCGCCCGCGCGTCGCCGCCGCCT